CCCCCCCCACAGGGGGCGGGGTTTGGGCCGGCCCCGGCCGCCTCTGGGCTGCCCAGTGTGCAAGCTCCAGGCGGGCAGCAGCAGCAAATTCTGCCCAGCACAGCAAGCAGGGGGGGCACAGCTGCTGCCACCACAGCAAAGCCCCAACAGGTGAGCCCAGAGCCAGTTTGGGGCCCAGGCTGGCAGTGGGGGAGGCTTACAAGCTGGTGCTGAGCATGGGGGAAGAATGGCCCTTCACCCACCCCATGGCCGGCACCCCATGCTGCAGCCACTCACAGCCCACGCAAATTCTGCCCAGCACAGCAAGCAGGGGGGGCACAGCTGCTGCCACCACAGCAAAGCCCCAACAGGTGAGCCCAGAGCCAGTTTGGGGCCCAGGCTGGCAGTGGGGGAGGCTTACAAGCTGGTGCTGAGCATGGGGGAAGAATGGCCCTTCACCCACCCCATGGCCGGCACCCCATGCTGCAGCCACTCACAGCCCACATGGGGCTGCCTGTGCCTGCTCAGGACTGCCCCGCACAGGCTGTGAGCGGCTGCAGTGCAGGGCACCAGCCATGGGGTAGGCGAGGGGCCGCTTTTTCCCTTGCTCCACACCAGCTCCTTCCCTGCCAGTGAGCAGGGGGTCAGGGCTGTGTGCTGCCTCCCACCTGTACCATGGGGCTGGGGGGCACTGAGAGTGAGCAGGCACAAGAGCAGAGGGCCTGCACTGGTGTCCCAGGGCCAGCACCAGTGGGGTCCAGGGCAGGGGTCCAGGGTCCCAGCTGGCAGGGGCTCTATGGAGCTGGGCTAGCTCCCCACTCTCCCTGCTGGCATAGCCCAGCCCAACTCCACAGACCCCTGCCAGCCTGTGCCCTGCTCTGGGCCCCACCAGTGCTAGCCCTGGGACATTGGTCCCAAGACTTTGGGACACTGGTTCCAAGATGGTCACCAGGGGGTGGAGCACCTGTCAAGGTGTGGGGCTACCCATGCGGCCCTTGACAGCTTGCCAAAACTGGGTAAGCAGCCCTCCGCACAAAATAATCGCCCGCCCTGGCATAGCTGGTACCATGTAAGCTCACAAATTACAATAATCTTTGTCTCAAAATCTTTTGATTTTAAGGGTTTCATTCATGTTTTCTAGCCTATTTTGTGATGTTAAATTGGAATTCACACAATATGACATTTTCATGTTTACTCCCTAGGATGCAAAGTAGTCAGTGTCGAGATGATTACATTGAGGTGTACGATGGGCCACTATATACATCTCCATTGCTTGGGAGAATTTGTTATGGTTCCACTTACACTTTTACGTCATCCTCAAATTTGATGACCGTTCGATTTCATAGTGACTACAGCTACGCAAACAGAGGGTTTTGGGCTGACTATTACTCCACACCAGCAGATCAGAATACTAGTAAGTCTATATTCAATGAAGAACTTTGTTCCTAATGAGACAAGCTTAATTGTTGATTTTAAGTGCAAGTGTATTTATGTATTTGTTCCTTAAACTACTAGTAACTATCACCTTTCATATTGTTTGAGCATTGACCTATTTCAGGCTATATTTAGTTTAATAATTAAAAAAATTCTGTGTGGAAGCTTTTATCAAAGGAATTCTTTTTAGATATTTTCTCTGACACTCATCTTAAATTTGCTTTTTCATCATCTCATTAATGTTACTTATTTAGTGCAAGCTCATGTTAACACACACCCTGCTTATAACACCCCTGCGCTTTATTGCATTAGAATGAGGCAGCAAACTGACTAATCCTGTTGTAGCCAACACCTTCTTTAAATGAGCTTTATTTTCAGTCCCACTGGAGTTTGTAACGAAGTTTTATTGTATTTTCTTCCACTGTCCTTTGGGCTTGATCATTGTCCTACTACAGATAAAACTTCCATCAGACTCATTTCCTTTCAAATACATAAGACAGTTCCATGTCCTGCCCCAAACTAATTTGTTATCATTTATCAGTTTACCACAATCCTGACTTTACTTTTTTTCCTGTGTCTGTGGTTCAAAATATTGTTCTCCAAAAGTTGATAGATTGGTAGCCTTAATAACAGGCTAGATATTACAGCCTTAATTTCATAGTGTGAACACGCAACACATTTACTGTGTGTGTCTACATGTGAAATTAATTTAAATGGGTAAACTTGGCTGCATATTGTGCCAGAGTTTATTGCTCCTGGCACCATGTCTTCATGTCGGCCTGGGACCACAGCATGTTGAGTTGGGTCAGAGCAGCCCTGGCTGGCAGAAGGTCTGGGGGGGGTCAGCCAGCCAGCCCGCCCAGGGCTGCTCCAACCCAGCTCAACAAGCTGCAGAGAGGCTGGCTGGGGCATGAGGTTGCTTTCTAGTGTGGGGCTAGCTGGCAGAGAGCCCTCATGCTGAAGCACCCTCATGCCCCAGCCAACCCTGTCTGCAACTACATGCTTTGCTGCACACTAAAGAACTACCGCATGATAGTACTTGTATTTACAAGTACGAACCTATGGCAGAGTTAATTAGTTTTCTGTGGCTTAATAAGGCTGTACATGTAGACACTGAGACTTTACTGTGGAGCTAATTAGGCAGCTCCACAGTAAAAGTCTCATATAGATGTGTCCACTATGGAGTAACCTACCCCAGATTTTAACTAGTACTAAATCTATTCCTAAGGATCAGAGCTATATCTATCTCTTCCAAGCTTAGCTGTCTCCTGTAGGTACTATGACAATGCTATGCCACTAGCTGGTGAAGAGTCAGTTCGTGTAGGGAAATCTCTATAGTGGAATGAAATTGTCTATGGAAGTGGACACATTTAATTTTCTATATAATAACTTGACTACATAATGAAGTTATTACACATTTTTCCAGGGGTAACTTTACCCTAGATTCAAGAGATTTATTACACAAGAAAATTGTATGATATGTGCCTATTCCACTTTTTCTGCATGATAGTGGTGGTTAGGGCTCTCTCTTCAAAGTGGGAGATATGGGTGTGAATCTCCTTAGGGTGAGGTGAAAGTAGTTTCCCACATCCTGGGTGAGCACTCATATCACTAGCCCATTATGTATAATATGGTTAACATCACTCCTAGCCTGCTTTTAAACTGAATAGTCCACTGTTTCTGTGAAGTATACTTCAAAAGCAGCTAGTGGATTGGGAATGTCCAGGGATTTAAGCATAGTTCTGTACTAATCTGAAATCCAGTTTATCTGAGGTAGGAGTTAGAAGGTTAATTGATCAAACAGGATTCCTCTAGAACAGTGTGGTACCTATAGAATGTTGCAGTTAAAATAGAGACATAAAATAAACTGCATACGTTCCATTTTTAGTCATCTCTGGTGCCAATCTGAATCTGAGTAATAGTCTTTACCACTAATGATATTGATCACAGGAGCCTCATACAGACATTCAGTTTCTCCTGGGAGAGTTACTGCTCTCCCAAGAGAAACCATGATTGTACAGATACTCTGGCTTATTCTCCAAGAGTAAAAATGACCACTGAAGGAAAAAAAATGACCTGGGACCAACCAGGGTTAAATCACTTCCAGGAGATGGTGAATGACAGTAAATGCTGTAGCTTTTCAAGGACAGAAATCCTAATGGTGTGATGTTTGTTGTAATTACAATACAGCATACAATGCAACACCTAGGAAAATTAGTCAGACCTCTAGTACGTATTAAATATTTAAGAAATAAGAGAGGTAAAATGATGTGCTCTGGTTTATGGACCCCTCCCATCCAAAACTGACACATACCATAGATAATATTTATTTAAAATGCAGTTTCTAATCCCTAATCCCTATCAGATGCCTGACTTCATTAATACTTGGTTTTCCCTGTTCCCCAGCGCTTCTGTGCTTGCCAGAATACATGAAGGCAGTTGTTAGCAGAGCCTACCTCAGTTCACAAGGCTACTCTGCATGGGATGTCAGCTTGAATGACCCTTCTTGTAGACCAACAATTACACCATACTATGTTATTTTTGATATACCATACACCCGCTGTGGCACCAGAAGAGAGGTATGAAGATGCTGAATGGTTCATCAGTCTGTATAATTCTGTTCAAACTGTACAGCTCATTTTGGAAAAGGTCATGAACTGAAACATGCACTGTTGTTTGTGGGGACTAGAAAGGGAACAGAGACAGCAGGTGCATTTAAAGATTCAATCTAACTCAGTACTCCAACCTCTGCGGATATTCTGTTTATTGTAGATGGCTTTTATGACACACACTGTGCAGTAGGGGCTTTTGTGAAAAAACTGCAACGTTAAGGTCTTTTTTTTCTGAACATTATCTGATCTTCATAAGTAGTATCAAGACTTACCATTTACACAGCCCTAGCTGAACAAGGTACTTAAAGCACTGACTTCAGTAGGACTGCCTGCACGCTTTAAATTAGATATGAATGTTAATGGAAACTTTATACATCAGATGTTCAAAGCGCTGCATGCATGTTAACTAACTGGGTGGTCTTTGGGTTCAATGTAAATGTTTTTCACAGAACTCAATTTTGTCACATACCATGTGGTCAACGAAGTTGTTTAAAATGCCTTGAGGGTAGAAGTTACCCAAATCGTGCTTCTATTCATACCTGTCCACTGGAAGTGACATTATTACACTCCGTGTTACTTTAATTTAGTATACATAATGTAAACATGACTGAATGAGGTAATTATACATTTTATCTAACATTCTAACAGGGAAACAGCAATTCGATCAGCTACTCCAATATGATAAAAGCAAATCCTTCTGGCAACTTTATCACAAGACAAAATGATCTTCATTTGCGTGTCACCTGCAAAATGCTCCAGAATTCCTGGATACAAGTAATGTATCTTGTTGATGCCAAAAATGTTACAGAGGTCAATGAAACTCAGTACAGCAGATATGATGTGAACCTTACATTTTATAGATCATCATCATTCTCACAGCCAGTCTATGACTCGCCATACTACGTTAACTTGAACCAGAATCTATTTCTTCAAGCTAATCTTCACAGCTCTGACTCAAATCTGGTGTTGTTTGTGGACACATGTATAGCATCTCCTAATCCCAATGATTTTACAACTGTGATCTATGACATAATCAGGAATGGGTAAGGACTTTCTCAATACTTGTGAAAAAAGGTTCTGTATTTGCAGTCTTGTTTCCATAGTTGTAGTTATGTATCTGTTTTATTTAGAGAATACCGCCGATGTGAATTGACTTCAGGTCCCATTATGAATATGTTTTTAAAAATACAGTGTAAGGCATAAATGGTTAGGTAGAGTATTAAATAACACTAGATATGGCATATAGACCATGAATCTAATTATTCCATTTAGTAAGGAGACTGTGTCTGCAGTTAAGAGCTTAAATAAGCCAAGTTACATTGTTCTACATAGTAACAATTTAATAGCCACCTCTACTTCAGCTGCTACATGGTGATCATTCATCCTTCAGCCCAAAGATGCAAATAACTTTAGGATCCTTTTGTAGATCAGTTGCCAGAGATCTCTTTGCAACTTGGCAGTCTTGGGAATTGATCTTGCAAAGATTTGACCAGAGGCTTAACGTTACACATGCGAGTGCAGTGAGGCTGCTTTGGGTGTGTACAAGCATTGCATTTAGATCACTTTAAACAAAACTTAGAGTGATATAAATGCTTGAGTTCACAGGGCTTAAGTCACCCTAACAATGGTGCACCTGACCTAAAGTTAGTTCTTATCAAATGAGAAAGAACCTTAGATTGGCATGGTTCATCCAACCTAAAATGGGTTGACCCAATCAAACAAATGCTTGCATCTATCCCCCAGACATCCCTGGGTCTGGGAAAGCCCAATCATACTCCACCGCACCCAGGCTGTGCTGTTTCCCCCCATCAACGAGCACACCTCTGGGCTGGGCAACACCCCCTTGAACACAGAAACCCCCTCCCCTGGACAATCTAGTCCCCACCCCCTCAATTCCCCCACCTCCCCCCAATCCTGCCAACCCTTTCCCTCCCACCCCCCCCACCCCAGCCCCAACTTACTTGCCTTTGGCTGCCTATTTGCATCCTCCTTGCAAGTGGGGAATTCTTGCATGCAGTGATCCTTACACTAAACTGGGCTACATGAACACTTGTTCACACCCTTGATGTTAGAACATGCATAATTTACTTGTTAGATCAGGGCCATTCATGTTGTACATTTTGTAAGTAAAGTCATTGCCACTGATTGTACATCTTTCTTTTCTAGTCTTACTACAAGAGCACTTTTTTCTCCCTTTTTTGTTCTGCATTCTTGTTAGACTTTCTGTTCTATATTTGTATATAGATTTATCTATTTGACATAAGTAATGTATTGCTTCGTATGTTCACAATAACTCATTTTATTTTGTTTTCTTTCTAGTTGCATTAGAGATTCTTCCTACACTACATACTATTCACCCTACAGTTACATGGCCCGGTTTAAATTTAATGCCTTCCAGTTTATTGGCAGACATCCATCTGTTTACCTGCAGTGTAAGATGGTGGTGTGTAGGGCATATGATTATTCCTCCCGATGCAACCAGGGATGTCTCTTTCGTTCCAAAAGAGGTGCCAGACATTACCAGAAACAAATAGATGTAGTCGTTGGACCCATTCAGCTTCAGAGTGATGGCATCAAAAATAGGAATGCTGGTAAATTTAAATAACCTTCTTTTGTTTTTAATATAAGACTCTTTAATCAGTTTGCATTTCATAAATATTTATTTGCAGGTTAGTTTGCTTCTGATTTCTAGTACTGATGCATAACTTTACTAGTTTATTGGCAACTTCAGAATACTAAGCATGAAGGCGTTGATCATTGACTAATATATACAAATTATTTTCTGTTGAGCACCTTTCAAATCCATCATTTTAATCTGCATGTATCAAAGGCTGAGTACATCACAGAGAAATTAGATATAGTTTATCTCTGTATTATAGTCCATTTTGTCCAAATTGTCATTATGAGTCTTGAATGTCTCCAGTAAAAACAGACCATTCACCTTCCTTGCGAAACATACATTCCCTATTTCCTTTCCTCGTTAAGATAATTTCTTAATGTTTAATCTAAAAATGTCATGCTTCTGAATAAATTGTTAAAGTAACCCTTATTAATATGAAGCTTATTTCATGTGTCTATAGTGTATCAGATATGAAATGGGGTGAAAAAACTCATTAATATTCATATATAATCTAAGATTCAAAATTTAAATTCAAGTTCTCTCTGTTCTGTTATCTTTGGCATTACCTAGAGCAGAGCAGGAGAAAATGTAATAAACTCTCCTTCCTTTTCGCTCACAGAAATGGATTCTTCACATCTTCAGGAAAATATGGATACTCATCGCTCCGTTATCGTTCCTATTGATAATTTCCATGCTCCATTTATTGTTACTGCCGTGGTCCTGGCAGTTATTATTATCACTCTTGCTGGTTTTCTTCTGAAAAGGAAAGTAAAGAAAGAGATTCCCTACAAGATAATGATGTGAGATGCAAGAAGCACTGGTACTCAACAGACACCAGAATCTCAGGAGATTTGTCAGCATTTCAGTTTCCTGCATTTATATTTCAGCATTTACATGACAATTCAAATTTTCATGAAAAAGTGTGAAAAGCTCACTGTAACAAGTTAACACCCCGTGTTGTGGTAAATTCAGAATAGAGTTGAGCCTGTGCTTGAAATCCCTTCATGTAAATAAGGCTGGTGGCTATTGAAATTTGGCCACAGACCCCATCTATCTAATCAACTATCACCTCCAATAATGGGCTGAGTGTAAATCCCAGATCCTACCAACCAGCTCCCTGCCCTCAGAGTCCTAGAAATTGCAACTTGGGGCTGTCTCTAATCTATGTGGACTGAAATTATCATGCTATTTTGTAATCAAACCTAGAAAGATTGAAATCACCTGGCATTTTGCAGCAAGATTGTGGAGGGCCGCAGGAGATGTAGTTCCATCCCGGTTTTACCATAGGTACTTTACGTTTAAATTTCTCATTGAGACAACTGTAAAATATTTGTGCTATTTATAATGTGGAATGATTTATAGGTTAAATAAATCTCTTATGTAAGCTCTGTGCTTAAAAATAGAAGGGGAAATGCAATATTTCTGTCTGTTAACATAATAAAAGTACAGCCTATTTGGTATCTGAACACCAGACTTCCATTTTGTTTCTTTAGAGAGCCCATTCTGTCATAAACTTTTCCCAACAACAATGTGTACTGTTGCTTTTATATATTCCTAACTTAGGGATGTTAAAAATGTTCTTGTGTAGGCTCCTATAAGGAAATGATAGATATCTCTCCTTTTATTCACCATGTGAAATTATGGAAAACTTAGTTTTAAATAACCAGCTGTTTCAAGGCTGTAAGTCACTGATGTTTGATTCAGAAATTCTTCTAACATTCTTGTGTTGTCTTTGGTATGACAGAAGAAAGCTGAATTGTCAAAATTGCAAAGTGAAAAAGTCTAAAGCCTGCCAGCTGCCTATAGTCCTCACAGTCATCCAACTTCCTAGGATAGTTGAGGTATACTGATTCCATACACCCAACATCTCCCAGTTTATAGCATCTAAGGCATGGGCTGCAGGGAATGCCTGTAGCAGAATGACACTTGCCCAAGGTCAAGAAAAATAATTAGCAGCTTTCCAGCACCTACGATAATATGCAAAAACTATACCTTGCAAGTAACATGTCTTTTTACATGATGTTTTCTTTTTATAAACGGAGAAATTCTTATAAAAACACCTGAATGGATTCTTTTCCTGAACATATGGTCAAAATTATATATAAAAATAGTTTAGATGACTTTTCCTATAAAATACAAGGGTTTTCTTGATGCTACTATGGAAAATTGGAAAACATCTTGAATGACTGTTATGCATGTGCACATTGGTTGGCTTTGGAATTAGATCAAAAGGATTAAAGACACCCCATAAAGGTTAAACAGTCATCCAGGTAAAACATTTCTACAGTAGGTAAGATGAGTAGTAAGCTAGCTTCCCCTTCTGAGGTCATGTTCCCATAGGATCATAGGAAAGTAAAGCTGGAAGGGATGTCACAAGGTCATCTTGTCCAGTCCCCTGCTTAAGGCAGGATCACTCCTGGATAAAGGATCCCAGCCAAGTGTTTGTCCAACCATGTCTTGAAAATTCCAGGGATGGAGACTCCACAGTTTCCCTGGGTGGCCTGTTCCAGTGCTTGACCACCCTCACATTCAGAAAATTTTAATCTCTGACCTAAATTTCCTTTGCTACCACTTGAATCCATTGCTCCTAGTCCTGTCCCCTGTCTGCTAGGGCCACAGAGGAAAGTGCATTTCCATCTTCTCTATAATTGCCCTTCAGGCATTTGAAGACTGCTATCAAGTTCCCCATCAGTCTTCTCTTCTCCAGACTAAATAACCTGAGCTCTTTCAGCTTTTCCTTATAAATCATATTTTCTGGAGCGCTAATCACTTTTGTTGCTGGACTCCTTCCAATATGTCCACATCCTTCTTGAAATGTGGAGCCCAAAACTGGACACAGCATTACAGGTGGAGTCCCACCAGCGCTGAATAGAGAGGAAGATTCACTTCCCTTGATTTGCAAGTGGCACTCCTGCTAATACAACCCTCTTGACTTTTTTTTTGGAACAAAAACACACTGTTGTTTTGTATTCAGCTGATGGTCTACTGTAACCCCCAGGTCCTTTTCTTCAATACTGAAGCCTAATCAGTCATTCCCCAGTCTGTATTTGTTCATGAAATTATTTTGGCCCAAGTGCAGGACTTAGCACTTGTCCTTGTGGAATTTCATGTGGTTGATTGTAGACCATTCCAATCTATTCGGGTCATTCTGGATCCTGCCCTGCTCTCCAGAGCATCTGTGATGCCATCCAACTTGGTTCCATCTACAAATTTGCTAAGTGCGCGCTCTACCTTGTTGCACATTTCCACTGAGAAGGCACATACATCTTTAGCACCTGAGCGTGGAGAACATGTCGCCCCGGCTACACTTGCATATCACGTACGCACACTGCTTCTCTGCACTTTCTGAGCTGAAGACAAAGAGGACAGCATGCACTTCCTGTTCTGGTCTTCTATATAACGGCCTCAGTTCAACATGGAGGCTTTGCAGGCCACATAGAGCATGGTTGGCCCCCAGCCTTACAAAACCCTTTCTTCAATTTCATTTTTCTTGTTCCTCTGTGTATTTTATTTTAATTTTATTTTATTTTAGCCATGTAAAGTTCTCTCAGTTCTTTCTTAATTTTTACCTTTCAGCTTCATTCTGCCATGAGATTCTTTCACCTTCTTTAGACTTTATTTTGACTTTTTTTTCTTTCCAAAATATTTCCCTCTCTCATTCATTGTTATGGATCTGTCTCTGTCTCTGGGAGATAGATCCACCTGGCACTGCAGACTGGCCTGTTAAGCCCATGTGTATATCCTCTGCAACTGTGTTTAGCAGGGCTGCCATGATAATATTCCCTATCCATTCACTTGTGGCCATACACTCCAAATGCTGAAAACAATATAATGTAGTTGCCACTGGTGTGTATCCAGAGCTGCTCTAATATTGAACCCCTCTGACTCAAAGTTTGAGAATGGTATTTTGCATGTGCCAAGTAGTGCTTACATGACATACTTTGGCATTTACTGTGTATGGCAATAGCCTTTGTTTTATTTTTTTGCCTCTCCTCCTCCACATCAGCACCTGGGGCAATCGCCTTGGTCTCCCCACCCTAGTTACACCACTTGAATTATGGTATTGACATGCCCTAAGTCAGTATTCTCCAACCAGTGTGCCGCAGCACAAAAGTGTGCCATCAGAAATGAACAAGTGTTCCGCTGAATTTTGCCATGGCAACGAGCTACAATAGGTATGAGGATGGGGAATGCCTTAACAGGTGTGTTGTGGAAAATTTTTATTAATATAGTGTGCCTTGGGTTGGAAAAGGTTGAGATACACTGCCCTGAGTGATTTATTTGCATATGGGAGACTTATCCTCAAGAGGTGTTTTATTCATGTACACCAGGAAGTGTGGTATGGGAGGGCTGGAGGTCATGAGATTCTTGCTGATAGATTCCCTTTGTAGCTTGCAGTGCCTGGAAGAATTCTGAACATGCTGCATTGAGGGGGAAGCTATGGGGTATGTTTGCACTTAGGCTCTAGGTCTTGCAGGTGAGGAAGACTGGATTGGTGACATCTTGAACAGTAAGCTGCTGTCCCTCAGCCTAATCTCAGTGCACGAGTCAGCGGGCTGCTCACTTGCATGTTTAGGGCTGCTCCCTTGCATGAAAGCAAGTTTTTACCTGGCAATGAAATTCTCTGTTCTCCAAACAAGTATGACCTTTTGAAGTGCAGAGTGAAGAATAGAGCTGACTGACATTTTATTAACTGGACAATGCAGTCCTTCAGCTTGACTCATTTCTGAGTTGCTTTTGTTCTTATTAATTTACTTGTTTTAAGAGGTTGAGAGGTTGTTCTCAGTTCATTAGGAAGAATGCCCAGGCTGCCAAGCTTGTGGTATAGTTTTGAGTCTCATCAAGATGTCAGAAAACTCTGAACAGTCACGTTGTTTGCACATACATTTCCTCATTTCTGTGGGAGTACAGTGGTGTATTCAAAAAGCTATCATCTTACTTGTTTGCTCTTTTGAGCATTTTCCTTATTTCAGCCTTGGTTATTCCCTAGGTATAAATTAATCTCCTTATACTTGCATGGGAGTCTTCAAACTGTATCTCTGACCTTTGCCCAATTATATTTCCTCCTTCCGATATAATGCCAGCTTTTGTCCTTACTCTTTTGCCTGTGTGTATTTTCTGTAGCATTTGAAATGTATCACACCTCACTAAACTTGATTGACACCTTCGCCATGCACTTTTAAATCTTTCCATCCTCTGGTTTCATGGAAAATGGTAAAGATGACAGCCAAAATGTATTTAGTCAATAGGCTGTGTGTACATCTAAGGAAGTAGCTATGCAGTGTTTTCACTGTGACATTTGTACTTTCTCTCTCTCTTTGTATTTTTTTAACTCTCACTGGTTATATACCATGGTGCACTCTTCCACACAGTATGGGATTTGTTATATATTTCATGTGTCCGTTTCATCAACCCTCAAAGAAGGCCTGGGGTGCCTTCAAGGAAGTGCCACAGAACCTAAAGTTTTTGAGCTCGAGCCTCCAGAGTACAATTTAAAACTTTGAGTTTAGCCTCTTAATTCCTCCAAAGGCTTACAAGTGCCTTACAAGTCTGGCCTCATGACGTGGGGAAACTTGGTCCAGACTCAAAAGGAGGCTGTCTCCATAATACGCTACACTAATTCTTAGAACATACAAAAATCCAGAAATGAAGATGTTCAATAAGATTATCACTTCGCTATGGGAGGAAGTCTGGGGTATTTTCCTTATTTTCTTGCCTCACCTCACTCTACCCCTTGGCAGTTAATCTCCTTCCCTCTGGACTGCACCTTGATGTAGTGGGAAGGTTTAATTAACTAGTATGGCTAAGGACAGAAGTTACACATAAACAGGTTTAAGTAATCAGAAACCAATTTAAACCTGTAACAGAACATAAGTTCAGTGCACATAAACCAGGTTCAAAATTGCTGAAACTGGTTTAAGATAAATTGCTTGAATGTGGTATCAGACTTAACTGATTTGGGTCAAACCAGTTCATGGAACTTGTGTCCCTGACCCCTTCCTGGTTAAATCAGAATCCCCCAGCACCCCAGCATGCTTTTCAGCTCTGGGCTGGGCTGAGCTGTCTGCTCCAGAGAGCAGGGCTGGCCCCGCCCCTCTCCTCACTAGCCAGAGCTCCAACTGGCTGAGAAGGAAGTGGCAGATTGCAACATATGCTAGGCTTTCCCTGTGCCCCCTGCCCCTGCTTGCTGCTCAAGCAGGAATTCCCCCCTCCCGCCCCTCTCCCATGGCATGGACCCCAGCCAGCATCTGCCTGTGCCCTCCTCTCCCTATGCTAGTTAATGCTGGGAGGTGTCTGCGTGTGTGTCACCAATTTCACTGGAACAAAGGCAGACAGAGCAGTGTCCACTTAGGGCTTTCTGGAACTAATCAGGGCTGCAGCCAAGAAGCCAGTGGCTTGCAAGTGCAAATGTACCCTGCAGATAAGAAGAGCTTGAAGCTAATGAGAGAGAGGGTTTTGTTTTCTTTTGTAGGGCTTGATGAGCTGATAAGCTTTGTGTTCTGATAAGCTCCCTGCTGGCTTGCTTCAAAGCTGCAATCTGTCAGTGTTCAACAGGGGACAGAGAGAGGTGTGAGAAATGACCTGGTTTGAAATGAAAGCGACCTGTGAATGCTTTCAGTTTGCTGCAGACAGTATGAAAAAGCTGGGAGATGGAGATTGAAAAGCTCAATATTATCAACAGATGCATGCAGTCCACATAAACAGTCTTCCCCACCCCACCTCCTTTGCCTCAGAGTGCTAGACAAGGGCTCAGACCAAATTGTTTCTTAGTTTCAGTTCAGCCTCTAATTTATCCACTCTGAATTTGAGGTTTAAAGGGCACATAAGCAATGTTCAGACTGCAGAACTACCATACCTGCCCTCTAACATACCCTGCTAATTAACTCAGCCCTGGTGTGTCATGAGCATGGTTTCATTGATTTAAGTCTATGTGGCAGCCCATACAAAGCAATGCAATATGTTTGATGGTGCCATGGTCAGGCCCAGTGAGCTTGAAGTTTAGATATGGCCACAGTCTTAACTGTGAAAAGGGCAGAGCCTGTTATGATCCAAGTAACCACAGACCAGTTAGCCTCACCTCAGTCCCTGGAGAAATCATGGAGCAGGTTCTCAAAGAATCCATTTCTAAGCACTTGGAGAAGAAGGTGACAGGGATCAGTCGGCATGGATTTACCAAGGGCAAGTCATGCCTGACCACCCTGATTGCCTTCTGTGATGAGATAATAACTGGCTCTGTGGATGTGGGGAAAGCAGTGGATATACTATACCTTGACTTTAACAAGGCTTTTGGTACCGTCTCCCACAGCATTCTTGCTAGCAAGCTGAGGAAGTATGGGTTGGATGAATGGACTGTAAGGTAGATAGAAAGCTGCTGGATTGTTGGGCTTAATGGGTAGCAAGCAGTGTCTCAATGTCTAGTTGGCAGCCAGTATCAATTGGAGTGACCCAGGAGTCAGTCCTGGGGCCAATAGTTCAATATCCTCATTAATGGTCTAGAAGATGGGATAGATTGCACCCTCATCAAATTCTCAGATGACACCAAGCTTGGAGGTGTAGTAGATATGCTGGAGAAAGGCTAGGATTCAGTGACATAAACAAATTAGAGGATTGGGCCAAAGAAATATCATAAGGTTCAACAAGGACAAGTGCAAAGTCCTGCACTTAGGACAGAAGAATCCCATGCACCAGTGCAGCCTGGGGATCAACTGGCTAGGCAGCAGCTCTGCCGAAATGGACCTGGGGGTTACAGTGAACAATAAGATGGATGTGAATTAACAGTGTGCCCTTGTTTCGGAGAAAACTAATGGCACACTGGGATGTATTAATACCAGTGTTGCCAGCATATTGAGGAAAGTGATTATTTCCCTTTCTTTGGCGCTGCTGAGATCACATCTGGAATACTGTGTCCAGTTTTGGGCCCCCTACTACAGAAAGGATGTGGGCAAATTGGATGTCCAGTGGAGGGCAATGGAAATGGTTAGGGGGCTGGGGCACATGACTTGTGAGGAGAGGTTGAGGGAACTGCGCTTATTTAGTCTGCAGAAGAGAAGACTGACAGGGAATTTAATAGCAGCCTTCAACTACCTGAAGGGTGGTTCCAAAGAGGATGGATCTTGGCTGAACAGATCTAATTGGGATGGTCTTGCTTTGAGCAGGGGGCTGAACTAGATGACCATCTGAGCTCCCTTCCAGCCCTAATTTTCTATGATTCTATAAAATGAAAAGCAATCTCCTGGTCCTTGATGTTGGGTGTCAAACAATAGGTTAACAACCTATTCTCATAGGATTCACTTGATATTATACAGAATTCACAGATTTTTATGATTTTTTTTTTGCAAGGATACCCACTGGCTCTGGTTCTCCAGTGAAGTTTAACAAGTTATTGAGCAGCATGTTCAGAATTACAAGGTGAAACTATCTGGAATTTAAACAGTTGTACTCCCTGAGACCCTTCAAGGATTAGGATGGGCTTCCCTTTAAGAGGAAGGCCAGGGATATTGGAGGCCTGTTTGCAAGCCCACTTAACCTTTTCATCTGCCTTGCAGATACTCTCTCCCCTTCAGCAATAAGCAGGGAAAATAAAGCATCTGCAAACACCATACAGATGCCAAAGGTATGCTTAGGTTCACACATTCTTCAAATGCACAATCGGAATACTTTGCAACAATAACAATGAGTACTCTTCTCCAGGGAGTGAAAAATGTTATAGTTCAAGTATCTTTGTGTGGTGAACAGGAAGTTGCCTACATTTGTGAATGAAGTAAAGTCACCTTGGGAATGCACGTTATATTTATTCATCATAGAGACCAAACCAGTTATTTAGCCATGCCCCCTTCTAGATGGAGCCTATAAATGCTGATGCTTATTCCTACAGGGAATTCTGGCAAGATGGACACTGCCACAATCCTCACTTTGACGTTACTGTTGAGTCCAGGAATCCTGCAGGCTTCCACAGGTAAATTCTTAATGTTCTCACAAAGTCATTTTTGCAAACATATAAAGACCAGTTTTGCTTCTTTTTTCTAGTTTTACAGAGAGAGCTCACCTTCAGGCAACAGCAACTTTGTGCAACAATTAGACAGCACTGTAGCATCAATTTGGACAGATTCACAGATTCACAGAAGTTTAGGGCTGGAAGGGACCTTGTGAGATCACCGGGTCCAGCCCCTCTGCTCTGGGCAAGAAAGACCCTTGGGTCAAATAACCCCAGCAAGGTGTACGTCTAGTTTCCTTTCGAAGTTCTCCAGGGTAGATGCCTGCAACCCCTCCCCCCCCCCCCTGATAATACAGTTTCTCCAGTTACAATGAGAACAAATGAAGTATTGCAGACATGCCTGCATCAAATTTGCTTTACGTTTGTCTGTGTCTGTTTCTCTTTCTTTATTATCTGTTTAGTTTGAGTAACCTATGTAACCTTTTTAAGTGGCTCTATAATAAATAATCCTGTTATGGTCAAGTTATGTAGAATAGACTTTTTGTCCCTGAAAAATGTCATAGTTCAAGTATCTTTGTGTGGGGAACAGGAAGTTGCCTACATTTGTGAATGAAGTAAAGTCACCTTGGGAATGCATGTTATATTCATCATAGAGAATGGTAGGAAGGGACCTTGTTAGATCACCGGGTCCAGCATATTTTATTAGTTTCCTGCTTACAAAAGGAAATATTCTTTAGACACAGTTAATAAAATTTTAGTTAGAACTGAAGGGCATAGTGAAAGGTAAGAGACATTTCCTCTTCAGTGAGGGTAGGGCGGTGACAAGCTCCTCCACAATGAGAATAGAAACAGGAAATATCAGAAATGGGATAGCAAGGCACTGCTCAGCTGTGGGAATGCAAGGGTCCCAGGATTTGTGACAAGAATTCAGGTAATGTTCACAACTAGCTTTTAGGCTACATTATAATTATTTGTGGCCAGCAGCCCTTTTGTTAAGTGAGGTTTGTGGCTGATGAATATGTTTTGAATTGTTTTTATCCTCTCAGTGTATGTATGAATAATTATGTTAAAACAGGGAAGTAAGAATATGTGGATGAGCTCCAACCAATTTCTTTTAAACACCTTTGGTGATAGGATTCCTCCACATAGGGGTGTATCTGTAAGATTGGTGAATGAAGCCCAAGAAATGTTTTCCTTCAGGATGCATAGTCTAGCAGACACAAATCATCTCTCTGGCATTGCCCTAATCTATATTGGCACCTGCAAAACTGCAGTCCCACAAAAATATTGCTGTTCTGTCTACTGATATTTTTCTCAGGTAAGAATTGTACCTGTATATCACATCAGAATATTTTAGGGGTAAGCATATTTAATCTGATAAACCACAGGACCTGTGTTTTACTCACTATACCCTAATATAACTTCAGGAAAATTTCACGCTTACTCACCCTCAACATTTAACACTTTGCTGTGGATAAGTTAAATACATATTTTATTAGTTTCCTGCTTAAAAAAGGAAATATTCTTTAGACATGATTAATAACATTTTAGTTAGAACTGAAGGGAATAATGAAAGGTAAGAGACATTTCCTCTGCAGTGAGAGTAGAGCGGTGACAAGCTCCTCCACAATGAGAATAGAAGTCTAAGAATTAGCAGCATAGTATAGAAAATCAATTTAAGGGCACAATCTGGTAGATGCTTCAGCACACAGGTAAATTAAAACACACGAGAGAGTCCCACTGATTTCAGTGTAATCATAGCTGTGAATAAAGGTGCTCACGTATGTTAAGGGGATTTTTTTACTTTACATTTTTTTAAATAACCAGGGATGATAATGGGGAAAGTATAGATCAAGCCACAAAAGATGGCTTTTGTGTAGAAAACAGGCAGCTTAAGGTAAGTACTGTTGTCATACTCTTATTGATTTACGAGCAAGGTAGACAATTCCTACGTGGTACTGTATTTGCTCAAATACAAGATGACCCTGACTTTAAGATGACCCCCCAATAGTTAGATATTATATATGGAAAGTTTACAAATTTGTTACATTTCTCCAGATGTAGAATCTAATTATCTTGAATTCATCCCCCTCAATTGCTATAGCAGAGAAAATAGTAGCTGGAGGGGGAGTGGCAGTCAAGCAACTCTGTTTTCCTCTGCTCCCCACACCCGACTTCTTTCTCCTGCAACCTTCCTGCCCCCACTGCAGTTAGACCCTACTCAGGCTCCATTCCCTCCCAAAGCATAATGTGGAAGTGAGCTGCATGTGGCAGTAAGGGGGCAAAAAGGGACAGAGAGGAGGGCAGAAATTGCAGAGGGGAACAGGAGACTGCTGTGAGTCTGACTCTGGCCCCAACCCTGACTATGGCAAATTCCAGCACAGGTACTCCACAAACACACTTTGGAGCATCACCCTTGTACCTACTTATACATAGGGTCCTACTAAATTCAGGGTGGTTGCCTCCCAATTTTGCAGCCCAAACAGGATGCTGTTCACCATTTTCATGGCGGAACACGGTGGCCCCCTCCTCCCACCATGCCTCTGATTGGCTGAGGGGCCCCAGAAGTCCTGTCCCTCCCTGGAGATTGACAGATGCATCTGGGGCCCCTCAGCTAATCAGAGGCATGATGGGGGCACTGCGCTCTGCTGCAAAAATCTCTGCCCCTTTTTCTCCCCCCCCATGCTTCAGGACACCAGACTTCCTGCTATTTTCTGTTTGGAGCTCCTCCTCCCCACACCCCGTTCCCCCCCACCCCCCCTTGCTTATCAAGTTTGCAGGTTTTTATGGTCCCCCACACTTTTTCACAGGGACCTACCGATTTCATGGTTTTTGTGAAAATGGCAAAATCACAAATTCAGTAGGTGATAGGTGGCATGCGATAGTAGGAAAATTAAGAGCCAGGAATATAGTTGCTACTGTTATAAATATGCCAATATACAAGTGACAGTAAGTGTTTGTAAGCTTGTAATAAAACATGTTTGTGTTCTGTGTTTTTAAAGGTGACAGGCTCCGACTGGTGAATGGAAGGCATGCATGTGAGGGGCGTGTAGAAATTAATCATAATGGATCCTGGGGAACAGTTTGTGATGATGAATGGGACCAAAATGATGCTCAAGTTGTCTGCAGGCAGCTTCAATGTGGACGGGCCATTTCAGCACCAGGAAGCGCCCGTTTTGGTCCAGGCACTGGGAATATTTTCCTTGATGATGTGGCATGCAGAGGGGATGAAATCTCTCTCCAGCAGTGTAGACACAGAGGGTGGGGCTTACACAACTGTCAACATGGAGAAGATGCTGGCGTCATCTGTTCAAGTACTTTTTGTCATTTCTCTTTTAGCTATTTATACTTCTGAATCAACAGGAGGGAAATGTTTAAATTAGAATTTGCTTCTGATTTGCTTCTGATTTGCTTCTGTTGGCCTTTGCCAACAGATTTTTTTAAATTAATGGTTTAATCTGAAGAGCCTACCCTACATATAATTATGCTTATGATCAAAAAGAGTGCTACTGATAGTGAAATTATTGAATATTTTTACAAGTTTGAATGCATTAGGAATACATTTCATTTTTTATAAGTAGTTGTACTTTGAAAATGTGGCACTTTTAACTGAGCAAATCAATTCTCTGTATGTTCTCATAGAGATGAGTGGCTTTTAGTGCCCCCCCCCTTTTTTCTTCCATACATTGTACTCCTGGTAACACTTCATAAGCAGCAGATTTGTTTACTAAATAACAATAATTTACATGGTGCCTTCTCATTTACCTTAAACGGTTTGGTACTGTGTTAATGAAGGCTGACAGCCAAGGGAAAAGTAGCACTTTTTATTCATAAAATTCAGCATATTCATTAGGAAAATAATGGGGCAATATAAATGGGTTCAACTGTCTCTTTTGCAAGGTAAGGGGATTGCCATGATCCAAATTCTTACCACGGGCAGTTGGCAGAGGGCGCACGTCCATCTCCAGCTACATGAGATGAATAATTCAGGCCACACTCTAGCAGAGGCTCAGGTGCACACTTCTGTTGACAGCTATGATTAGTCCCTTAGATTTCAATGAAAATGCCCATTGTAGAAAAGTTAAGCACAGCTCTGCACCATCAGGCTTAAAATAGACTTGCTCCCAAAGTGCTGTGCATGCTCCCCAAGCCAGCTCAAGAGGTACGACACCAGAACTGCCAGTCCCTGGCAATAGGTTGTACTGCTCTCCCATTTGCCACTGACATTTCCATCTTGCACCCTTGCTTCTCAGCCTTGCAGTTACAGAATGGAGATATATAAAGCTTTATTTTTTTTCTCATTTCACTTGCTTTTGCTTGAATCTTCCCTCTCTGAACGGGCTACCCCAGATTGGCCTTCTGATTTTACTTTCACCATAATGACTTTGGTACCTTGTCCACAAGCTTTCATCTCTCTAGTTGAAAAAGGGTTTTTCATTCCCTTCCTGTTTTTTCCCTTTGTCTTAACAGGAGTTGCCAGTACACATACTCCAACACTACATAGAACTAATATCCTCACCTCGCCTATTATGAGTACCCCAGTGCCATCTAGTATGACTGACATCAGCCTGCTTTTTACAAGGACCCCAGCACAGACAGGTATGAGTACCACTGGACTGCCTACTTCGAGTGCTCCGGCAGCACCTATTATGACTATTGCAGCACCACTTATGTGTACCTCAGCACTGTCTACTATGGCTCTCCCAGCTACAGATAATTCTCTCCTTAATTCTTTGCTAAATCTGAAATTCACCAAAGTCTTTGGAGAGGGCAGGAAAAGCAATGAATGTGAATGAGCTGGGGGCCAGCTGTCTCTGTTAGAGAAGCTATTTCCATTTTGGGAACATTAAAACACCTCGCAGATGGGACCTGGTTTGTAGAAAGTAGATACATGAATAAATAGATTGGGCTGCAGGTTTGACTATCCAAGCTGAAGCCTGTGGAGATCAGGCAGTGCTCTGAGGCTTACGCATGGGAGAATCCAATCTGATTTCTAAAGAGAGGCCTGGGGAACTAAGGCACAGCAGGTAAAAAAAAAAAAAAAGCCAAATGGATCAGTATACACAGTGGCCACAACAACAGGCCAAGCAATGCTGGGCCTTGGGACACAGAGAGGCACTAAGCACAGGTATGCAGTCCTTTGGATAGCCTTTTCAGGCCTCAGCAGAGCAAGCAGAGCCTGGCAATGAGGAGGATGAAAGCAGTATGAGCTGATAAGAATTCTCCACTAGAGTAGGGGGCCATGCTGGAAGACAGGCAGATTGGGCAGGCTGCCTGTAAGCCATTGGGACAAGTATTTTAAGATGGACACTGGTGCAATGGCCCACTTAGTGTCTCAGATTGTAAGTGTTGAGCTGGATGGCAGCATTCTCCCTGGCCTTGGGTAGTTCACTTAATCGCGCTGAACTTTGGACCAGTTAACTCACTTTAGTGTGAGCGCATGCTCAATTCAGGCTGATCCCTTGGCCCGAGGTAAAAGTTACATACCCAGACAGATGCTGAGTGCACAAGAGTGTGCAGTGTGAAGAAGTGTGTGAGTGCTAGGTGCACAAACACTGGATTGGTTGAGGAATGAGTGACAGTGATTGACAGGTGCCAGTCACCTGTCAGGTATAAAATGAGCCAGATTGTTTGGATCTCCTGTGTGTGTGTGTGTGTGTGTGTGTGTGTGTGTGTGTGTGTGTGTGATAGAGAGTGAGAGAGAGAGAGAGATAGGTTTGTGCAAGTGAACAAGTGTGGACCTAGGAGGTCAGTCTCTTCCCTGTGTGTTTGGAGCAGCATGAGTCTTGATGGTGAGACTGACAGAGGAACGTATGAAGCCGGAGGGGTCATCATTCCCTTGTATTTCTCCTTTTGTCTTAACAGAGGTGTTCAGCACACGTACCCTGGTTCCATCCATGACAGGTAATTCAAATATCTTTCCCTCCTTGTTTACTTTTTCTCTTTTTTCCTCCGCAAAACGTACCAAGCAGAATTTATTACCCTGGCCAAATTTGAAACTCTTAAAGCATGAGGGGGCTGGAAAGGCAATAAGAGCAGATGAGCTACTGGGGTTCTCTCTTTGCTAGGAAGAGTATTTCTTACAACACAGAACCTCTCAGAATCAGACTTGGCTCATAGAAAGTAGATGCATGAATAAATGGACTGAGGTCTTAAGGTACCCCAGAGCAGACTGAAGCTTATGGATGCTGGGCAGTGGTCTGAAACTTTGCACATAAGAGTCCAATCTGCTTCTCAAAGAGAAGTGTGAGGTCCAAAGGCCTACAGAACTAAGGCTGGAGGTGTTATAAAAAATAACACAAGGAGCAGCACACACTCTGTCCAAGATCCAGTGTTGGGTCTTGGGACAAAAACTGCAGGGATTAGGACTGTCTACCTACACAGTCCACAGTTCAGGACTGCATTTCCAGCATTTTTACCTTTTGATCTAATTACTACAAAAATGTTCCCATTGTTTATGGAAACATCAAATTAAAAGTTATTGCGTCTAAAGCATTTCGTAAAGACTGAAGTCTCTGAGGCATTGGAAACCCTCAGCCTTTTTTCCTTTTTATGGCCTGAAGGAGGCCACTCCATGATATAAAGCATGTCAAAGTCTTTAAAGGTGAGTTGTGATAAAGAAAATGAGGTCCTGGAAAATGGACCTCACTGTTATGAATTTCCCAACATGAAAATATCTGTGGATACCTGTGATGCTTCATCAAACTACTTCTGTCTTACAAAAATGTTGGTCTCAGGCTGGTGAATGAATGAATAGGTGGATGGTATATGTTCCTAATAGCCTGAAAGCTGCCATTTGATAAAGAGTGTTTTCCAAGATTTTAAAATACCCTCACCATTTCTACAAAGCTGCATTACTGTTGGATCCCATTTCTAGAGCCTGACAATTATCCTAGCAAATAAAATTTGCAAACATAATATGATGACGTTACTAAGAGATATCATTTGATATGCAACTCTACCATGCCTTTTGATGAAGGAACTGTTTTCTAAAGTTTCTCGACCAGATGATATAAATACCCACTTTTCCACCTTGTTTCTTCAGCACAATGCACAAGGGAGTTCTGGCTATTAGCAATGGAGTGATGCAAACAATAATAATAGTATGGAAGCACTAGAGAAGGTATAGAGAAGGGCAACATGGTGTGGAGGGGCTTCCATATGAAGAGAAACTAAAGAGTTTAGAAAAGAGATGTTTTAGGAGGGGCGTGATAAGTGTTTACAAAATACTAAAGAACTAGGGACCACAAAATGAAACTAGTAAGTTTAAAACTAACCAAAGGAAGTTTTTTTTTTCATATTGCATGCAATTAAAGTGTGGCACTCATTGCCACCAAATGTGGAAGCTGACAGTTTAGTCATATTAAAAAAGTGATTGGACAAATTTGTGGAAGGAAGAGGCATCAGTAGCTATTGAGCATGGGAGTTAGGAATATAAACCCTGATGAGTTTATAGATGGCCACCAGTTCCCCTCTCAGTCTTCTCTTGTGGAGGCTGAATAGTTTCAGGCCCTTTAGTCTGTCTTCATGGGGCCTGGCCTGCTGCCCCCTGACCATGCGAGTGGCCCTCCTCTGGACCCTCTCAATGCTAGCCACATCCCTCCTGATATGTGATGCCCAGAACTGGACGCAGTACTCCAACTGCAGCCTGACCAGCACCGCATAGAGGGGAAGGATCACCTCCCGGGACCTGCTCGTGATGCATATGTAGATGCACGACAAGGTGCGGTTACCCTTACTGACTGCTTCCTCATATTAGCAGCACTTATGCACATGCTTAATTACACTGACATTATTAGTCCCAAAGACTTCACTGAAACTCTTCATGTCTCTAAATCATGCATAAATATTTGCTCTTAAAATGGAAGATTAAATTGGAGGTGGCAGTGTAATTTAAGACCACACATTAAATAAAAACGTTGATATTCCAAAAGTTTGCAATTTAAATTCATAATATAATATTTGCTCCCAACTCACGAAGTAATTCTTTAAAAGTTTACTTCCTATTTTCATTAAGACATAATGCTATTAAGAAAAAATTATAATCTTCCTTCAGTGAAAATTATATTCTTTGATGTATATCCTTTGTCTTCATTTGTGTGTGTGTGTATATATATATATATATATATATATTTAGAGCCCAATCTAGAGAGCTACTGTGTGAAATAGATTGGTATAGAACCTAACAGCTCTTTGGTTGGCTCCTTCTCATTCAGAACCTACCTAAAGGCCACTAATGTCAGTGGAAGACTTTCCTTTTAGCTTTGGTAGCTTTGGATCAGACTTCCAGGATCTATACATGTATGTGCAGAAATTAACATATATTATCTGTCTGTTTTTTTCCCTTCTTCCTTTTTCAGGAAAATATTCTTGTGGTGGCTTACTTTCCAGCTCATCTGGGGAGTTTACTAGCCCATTTTATCCTGAAAATTATCCAAACAGTGCTGATTGCATATGGGAAATACAAGTAGAAAGCAATAGCCGTGTAACACTCACTTTCAGAGATGTTGTGTAAGTATAGGGCAGATTTCATGGGCAACGAATGGGGTCAAAATCTTGGATTTTTGATATTTGTATCCTCTTCTGTTTAAGCACTTTGCTCATCCTGTTAAAAAATTGTAAGTGTATATAACTCTAAAATGAAAATGTTAGTGGTGATAGTTTTTCTTGCTGTCTTTTGTAGAGCCCTAAAAATATCTTTGGTTCCATATAAATCCCACAATAGAAAAAGTCCTTGTCCCCAGAGAGTTTCCAGTATGAAAAATATTATCCCATATTAATGGACTGTTTTGTGATAAGAGGTTAAATTGTACTTTACACAATGCATACTACAGCATGTTCATGTTGCTTCCCCCAGGATACAAGGAGTTGGATGCCAATATGATTACATTGAAGTGTATGATGGACCACTAAATACCTCTCCTTTGCTTGGGAGAATTTGTCATGGCTCTATTTTCATCTACACATCATCCTCAAACTTGATTACCGTTCACTTCCACAGTGACAACAGCTACACAAGCAGTGGGTTTCATGCTGACTATTACTCTACACCAGAAAATGACAATACTAGTAAGTTCCTGTTCATTACAGTACTTTGATTCTCGGTCAATAAGCACACTTGTTGATTTCATTTGCTGCTGAAAGGTTTGGTAGAATAGCAACCATTCCTTGATCAACCATCAACTTTCACTGTTCGATTGTCAATTTACTACTTAGCCAATAATTAGCTTTACATTTTAAAGGATTGAGTGTTACTTTGTATAACATGTATTATTATTACAATTTTTAAGGTATTCAGCCTATTTTTTTAAAACAGATTAATGAAATGATATATACTTCCTTGTGCTGCTTTTTGGGTCAGATCCTAGTCTTAATCCAGGGAAATACCCATTGGAGTTGGACTCATCTTGTTTCTCATTATATGAGATGGCTGCATGCCTTCCCCTAACTAATTCATTATCATTTATCTGAAGATATGCTTTTTATTACAACACTGGTTTGCCTGAGTAAAGGATTCAGACCACATTACGGACTCTTTAGTTCTAACTCACCAATTATCACCTCCCAGTGACTATCCAGCACACCCTGTAAAGCTCATTTGAGCATCAGAAGCCAAGGCTAAGCTTTCCTCTAGCTGCCCCTCTGCTCACTTGCTGTGAGCTCTGTAGTCACTGGAGATGAGAGAGGCACAGGGGGTTTGCCGGTGACTCTTCTGCACTCCACTTCCGTTACCAATAATCAGCGTGACAGGAGGGGAGACAAGTAAGAAGCATGGATCTTAGAAGGACTCTACTTAAATTTCCTGCTCCTTTCCTTCTAGGACACTGCTATTTTTCTAATGTTTCTATAGGACATGCCGAGTACATAGGAACCTGAGGGCCCTCCCCCACTCAGAAAGATGGCTGTCGTCTCAAATATATAAAACTTTCCAGATGTCCATTATCCTAGCCTCCCTGCCCCCTTGAAAAAATAAAAGTCGGTGTCTATGGTTTCCATATGTCACAAGATCAGAACAGCATATTAATTAGGGCTGTGCAATGTTTCAGGTGGTGATTCAATTTGGAGGAGGTTCGGCCTGATTCAGTGGCCAAATCTCCGAATCTGAATCGAATCAGGGGAATAAATAAAAGGTCCAAATCAATTAAAAACTCTCTGGATCTTTGGAAAAGATTCAGAGAGCTTTGATGATTCGGGCAGTCTCTGGTGGCTGCAGCAGGGAGCTGTGGCCGACTCCGAGCTGGTAAGTACTAGGGCCGGGGGGGAGAGAGGAGAGCGGGGAGGGGACCATGGGGGGGCCCTTGCCAGACCCCATTGCCTGCCTGCTCCCTCAGCCCCCCGACCTCTGCCCGCTACCCCAGCCCCACCATGGCTGCCCCGCCTGCCCCACCTCCTGGCAATTAATAAAAAAAGCCCCAGCGCTGCCCAGCTCCGGCCCTTTAAGAAAAAAAAAACAAACGAGAAAAGCCCCTGGACTCTCTGCTTCTGCAGCAACTTTGGGGCTTCTGGGGGCTCATGCAGAGCCCCCCACATGGTGTGGGGCAGCCTGCTGCCCCCCCCCCGCCCCGCTGGCAGGGGCAGTGAGTCTGGGGATTTCTTGGGGGGGGGGTTTCTTAAAGGGCCAGAGCCATGGTGGGTGGAGCAGCCATGGGGGAAGTCAGGGGGCTTGTAGCAGAGCCTCCCACACAGCTTGGGGCAGTGAGGGGTAGCAGGCATCGCCCCCCGCCTGGCAGCACTTGCTGAGTCGGGACTTTTTTCTAACAAGTTCCAGGAGACGGGGCTGGCGGGGCAGCCATTGCCGGGCTGGGGAGTTGAGCCTGGCTGATTCAGAGATTCAGCAGCAGCCAAGTCTCTAAATCAGATTCGGCCAAATCAATTCAGGGCAGTGATTCAAATCACTGAATCGAATCACTGTCCCCTGAATTGGATGAATCTGAATCTAAAGCGAATACTAGCTGCTTCGCACAGGCCTAATATTAATCATAAGATGAGGGTGGCTTGAATGCCTTTGGGATATTTGGAGGCAACCCTTGAAATCAACCCAAAGCTAAAGTTTAAACATTCCCTAAATCAGGCTCTAAATTTGATGCCTCTGCCAGCCTGAGATCTAGAATGCTCCCTCCCTCTTTCCCCCCCGTCCAAAAGAGCACTCGAGCTGTCCGACTAGAGGGTAGCTGCACAGAGACGCGCTGCACACTGAAGCTCTGCCAAGCCCATAGCGATTGCCAGTGATGAAACACACCTTTCATAAAGACAGAAGCCCTAATTTGCTGAATTTCATTATAACAGTTAATCAAATACCTTAAATGCTTAAGAAAACAGAAGTGAAAACATGTGTTTTGGTCTATGTTCTCCTTCCCCCACAACTTACACATGCAATGGATAACATGTTTAAGTGCAGTACTGGACATAAGGAAAAACTTCTTTATTTTCCAAGTCTCCAGAGTCTGGAGTCCATTCCCCATGGAAGTAGTGCAAGTACCTACTCTGGATATCTTTAAGAAGTGCTCGGATGCTTATCTTGCTGGGGTGATCTGACCCCCACTGACTTCCTGCCCCTTGGGCAGGGGGCTGGACCCGATGATATTGCAAGGACCCTTTCAGCCCTAATGTCTATGAAATCTATGAGTAATTTATCATAATCAGATGCCAGGCTATACTAATAATATGTGTTTTTCCTTATCCCCCCAGCACTTGTGTGCATGCCAGAACACATGCATGTGGCAATTAGCAGAGACTATCTCTACTCACATGGCTACTCTACAGAATATATCAGCTTGAATGACCTTTACTGTAAACCAAAGATGACATCATACCTTGTCGTATTCGATATACCATACAATGGCTGTGGCACAAGGAGGGAGGTATGATACTGAATACCTACCTGCATAAACAGATCTGTTTTAAAAGTAGAACTCATCTTGTGAAGGTCTGTGAGTTGAAATGTGCACCACTATTCACAGGGATGAGAAATGGACCAATGACTGCAGGGATATTTGAAGGTTCAGATTGAAACATTTAAGTGTAGGAAGGACTAGTGTAAAAAGAAATAAGAACATTTTTTAAGCACTTCTCCCAAGCACAAGATTTTCATGAATAACAGTAAACACTTAAATATAATAATTAAGTCACTTCTTTAGGATTACTCACATGCTTTAAGATAAACATCCCCTTTCAAATACAGTGTTTATAACGTCCCTGTGCAACTTTAAACGTTCATAACCGTGATGTACATGATAGAAGCAAACTATCAATGGCAATTGAAAGCACAATACATTAAGCTTTAACACAATACAGCTCAAATTTCTAGACTTAGACATAACTGCCATCTTTTGTGATACATCATTCAAATTTAAAGTTGCACAAGGTCTTCATAAATACCTTGTACTTCACTGCTTTGGAAACTTTTTTTTTTCTAAATTATGCATTATGTATTCAAAGCTTTCAACAGATGTCTTTGGATTCAGTTTAAATACATTTCACATAACTTGTGGTTATATACTATGTAGCCAACAAGGTTGTTTAAAAGCCCTTTGAATAGACTTTTTTTATTCCCAATATCACTTATCTTTGAAAGACTGTCTATAGAAGCAACATGATTATCTTATACCAAATATACTCACATACCACACACACTTTCCCCCCAAAATTCAACCCTACAAAATTACAGTGCATGTCTGAAAGAGGGAAGCTGATCTTTCCTCACTGGAATACAAACATGGAGACAATGTCTTTTAATGACTGCCCAGATGGTTGTTCTTCTCTCTGGTCCAGGAAGCAGCAGGGGTAGAGTCCAGTGTTCACCCTCACACAGACTAAAGCTGCTACCAATCCTCAGCAACTGTGAGAGGGTCAAACCTGTAGCGTGTGCCTAAAACAACCATGGAACAGGCTCAGGGCAAGTGAGTTGCTGCATGCAGTCAAACATCTCCCTTGGAAAAATTTCCTACATTAAATAATTCTGTACTCTTTCTCTAACATGCCTAACAGGGAAACAACAATACTATCACCTACGCTAACCTAATCAAAGCAACCTCTTCAGGTAACACAATTAAAAGACAAAAGGATCTTCACTTGCATGTCAACTGCAAAATGCTCCAGGACACCTGGATAAAAGTCATGTATCTTGCTGAAGATGTTATAGAGGTCAACGAAACTCAATACAGCAGATATGATGTGAACCTGACTTTTTATGAAACATCGTCATTCTCACAGCCGATCTACGACTCTCCGTACTATGTTGATTTGAACCAGAATTTATACCTTGAAGCTTATCTTCACAGCTCTGACCCAAACCTGATAATGATTGTGGATACATGTATTACATCCCCCGATCCCAGTGATTTTACAACAGTGACATATGATATAATCAGGCGTGGGTAAGGATTTTCTCAATCAAAATTTGTCTTTATTTGCAGTTGTGTTGAAGGTTGTTTTTTTCTTAACTTCTGCATTTGTTTTTATTTATCAATGAATTTGAATGGAGCTAGCCTCAAGTGTAGCTAGTATCCACTGAATGTTTGATTTTTATATCATGGGACCATGTTAGTGGAAGGATCCTCAGTTAAAGCAGGACATTTTTAACATAGGTCTCTTCCATGGTGGGTAACTGTTTGGAATCCATCCCTAGCTGCAGTGGAAAAAACCAAGATGACACCATCATCTTCCCAACAGTTTTGTAAACCTTTCTCTGCAAATTTTCTTTTTCCATCCAAAACAGTCCAGTTAATTTTACCTAATTGTATAAACACTTCCAGAATTGTTGAAACTGAAATGTTTATGAATTTACTGTTTAAAAATGTTGCCCATCTATGATCAAGACTGAATTTCTTTTCAAAGAATTTATCTCTGGAATCCAATTATGCTTTTTCCTACTATTCTGCTGCTTTATTTTGTTAATCATTCATGTGTATTGGGGCTGAATACTGAAAACTCTATTTCAACTAAGTATATATATTTCAGCTGATATGTAGTGTTGTGTTTGATTTTGTCATCTTTTCTATACCTGCCTTAAAACACCTTATCAGTTTATTTTCATGATCACTTTTGTTTGCAGCTGAAATCAAAGTTTTATTCTTGTTCCAGTGACACAGAATTATTTATCTGATTTGGCTTAAACCCTGCTCTATTTTTAAAAGCTATGTAACATGTAACCTGGAAAACTCAGATAGAGGAGAAGATCTGGGTTAGTCTGGAGTAAGCCAGAAAGCAGCACAGAGTGACACTTTACAGACACTAACTTGTTCAGAGAGCAATGAGCTTGCCTAGGGTACACCCTACTTTGGCATGAGTAGAGTAGCATGGCTGTTCATGTGTTCCTATGCTTGCAAAGACATAGCTTGCAAGGACATGTATTGAAAGAGTCTAAAACCTGAACTTTTCTGCATATGGGGTGAGATATTACGTATAGCTATCAGAGCAGTCAGGGATGTATATTCTGGTATCTCTAAACCAATAATGATGGATGCGAGGAAAGGTATAACAGAGGATAGAAACCCTGGTCATATGCTCTCCGTCTAAAGCATCCAGTCCTGCCACTGTTGGGGACAGGAGGCTGGGCTTGAGAGTGACCATTGGTTGGACATAGTGGGTGCATCTACATGTGTGCGTTAATGTACTGTAGCCTATTTAATGGCGAATTAAAGCGTCACATAAAAAAACATACAGTTACACTAATATTCTGTAAAATAGGCTACTGTGCATTAAGCATCACTTCAAAAAATGTGTGCTTTCAGGACTGTGCATTAGGGCAATCTAATATGCATTTATTTATTACCTCACTTTGGAGGTAGTAAATTTAATGTGCATTAGGAAAAGTGCATTAATGCACATATAGATGCACCAGTATGGTGCTTCTTATGTTCTTATGAAATTTCAGCTGTCTAAGAACTAGCTTCTGTTGTCAATGAACAACTTTTATTTTGTGGTGTTATTCCAGTTGTATACAAATAATAGAAAATAAACAGAGTGAAAGTTCAAAATAATTCAACTAAGGTAATATAAGAACAGAACATGTGGAAGTTACATTTAGAAGAAGTCACTTTCAAAGTGGTTTAAGAAATTCCTGTCTAGGACAGCTTATAAAAACAAAATGGTCCAAAGGACCTTTCTAAGCAGTAGTCTGATAGTGGTCCAATAACCTGTAGAAACTGAGATTATACTAAGAGCACTTTATTTCCTTGTGAATGTTTGATGAGTTTCTTGGACTTTATGTGAGAACTGGGCAATATATTCCAAGATAGCATCTGTGTGTGTAAACAGAGGAGTTGAGCTCCTTATTCCTGCTAGCTGAATTGAACCTGAATGCTCTGGCATGAAATTATGCTATCTAATGAATTTAGCTCCTTGACAGGAAAGCAAAACTTAAAAGAGAATAGAAAGTACTTCTGTAGCTGATCACGTAGAAAGCTTGTTCCATGGAAAAGCTCTCTTTCTTCCCACACCCTACGCAGAAATCGAAAGGGTGGAGGCAAGTGAGAGAAGAGGTTGGAAGAGGGACGTTATTACTATTTCTATTTCATTAACAAGGAGAACCACTCAGGCCTGCTGGCTCCTTTGCACTAAACATTGTATAAACAGTTAGTAATGAACTGTTCCTGCCTTTAAGAGCATAAATCAAGGTCACATTTTCTCCCAGTAGTAAAGTTAGATCTGCCTCAGTTTCAGCTGCTACATAGGGATCATTCATGTGGCAGCCTGAATGTATGAAACCCCAACTCCAGGTTCCTGTGTTAGATTAGTTGCCAAAATATTTCCAAGGCACCTCTTCGCAATTTGGCAGTCTTTGTCCTCATCCTACAGTCATCTGTGCACAGGTTTAACTTTAAACATATGAATGCAGTGAGGCTACTCACTCTTAAGGTTGTGCCTTACTGGATGGGGCAATCAGTGTTGCCCATTTTGCTTTCAGAGACGCCATCACTTCTAATTTTACAAGTCTTATTGCCTGTTTCATACAAATATACATTTTTCTCTTTTCTGTTCATGTTGTATTTTATGTTCTATATTTGGGCTTAAATTTATCTATTTGATGCAAGTGAGTCATTATTTTGTGTTTTCACCGTTACTAGATTTATTTTTTTTCTTCCTTTTCAGGTGTGTTAGAGACTCTTCCTATGCTACATACTATTCACCCCACACACACATGGCCCGGTTTAAATTTAATGCCTTCCAGTTTATTGGCAGACATCCATCTGTTTACCTGCAGTGTAAGATGGCGGTGTGCAGGAGAGATGATTATTCCTCCCGCTGCTACCAGGGCTGTCTCAGTCGTACCAGGAGAGAAACTAGCTCTTCTGAGGAAGAACTATCTTTTGTTCTTGGGCCACTGAAGCTTCGAAAGAAGAAATGAAGGTAAAGTTACATTACCTTCTTTGTATTTAATAGTGGAGTTTTGCAAATTATTATGATTTATTGACAGTTGGACATTAAACATGAGGCATTTGTATATTAGCTCATATGTTTTATAGAAAGTATTCCCCATTTAGCAATTTCAAATGATTTAATCTGCACATATAAAAATGCTGATTGAGTCAGAGTTATAATGTTTACTCCAGTTCCATATCATAACTCCACTGAATTCATTACTCCCATTCATAAGAGTCTTTAATAACTCCAGTAAAAACGTATCCTTCTCGTTCCTGGAAAAATCTTTATTCTCTAACTCTTCTTTCTAATGTTCAACCTAACCCCCTCACCCCCCGGCCCCCGCTTCTAGTTACATTTTTTTGTAGTAATCCTTACTAATATATAGCTTGTTTCACATGTCTCTATGATCATATATGAAATAAGATAAAAGAAAATGATATCCAAGTTTGATCTTGGACTCATTATTTTAATGTACGTTGCCTTTGATCTGATATCTTTGGAAAGAGCTAGAGCAGGAAAGCAAATTGAACCAACTCTTTTTCTCTTCACTCACAGAACTGGGCCCAACAGATCTGCTGGAAGACATGGATTCCCATCGTTCATTTATTCCTTCTGCTGATAATCTCCGCTTATAGTTATTACAGTCCACTTAGAGTTATTACCATGGACCTAGCAATTATCACTCTTGCTAGTTCTCTTTTGGGAAGCAAATTCAAGAAAGAGATTCTTTATGAGATGATGAAGAGAGATGTAAAGGACATAGGAAGTTAGTGCATATGCATTTTCCAATGGTACATTTTCTAGCCTATATGCCTGTTACCTTTAAATGCCAAATAAACCTTTAAAGAATGATGAAAAGCAAAGATGTAAGAATTTGTTTTTACAAGTTCAGACTAGAAATGGGTCTGAGACTAAAATATCTGCATCCGACTAAGGCTGGACACTCAGGAAAGTTTGACTCCATATCCCTTCATTCAATCAGCTGCTATCTCTAATAATGGGCTCAATGCAAACAAAGCCTGTATCTCAGCCACCAGCTCCCTGTCATCATACTAAGTCTAGACTTTGCAACACAAAAGTTGTCTCTAATCTAGATAAATGGAAATTGTTCTACCTTCATGTTCCTGGTATTTTGTAATGCCATTCCACCGGGTATGTGTGGGAACCCTTGTAAAGTATTACCTGAGTGTGCAGGAAGGATGGCACAGCAATTAGAGTGGTCACATGAGCTGGAGCACTGTGACCCTGGGCAAATCAGTCTCCACGTTCCTGATGATCAGTAACATGCAGATAACAGCACTTGCCTACCTCACGAAAGTGCTGTGAGGAAATGAATACACTCAAGTTTGTTAGGCATGGTGGGATGGGAGCCATGTCAGTACCTAAGGAAGTTGCTTTGATTGGTGGCATAACTAGGGTGGGATGAATGGGGCAACTGCTTATGGGGAGAATGGAGCATGAAAAAAGTGACTGCTGTTGGCAGCCATGTGATCGCAATCATGATGTTGCCGCCAGCTGGAAGTCAACACACCCCTGGTTGCTCAGCTGCATCCCTGCACTACTGGGCTTTAACATCTTAGCCATAATAAATCCCAATCAGACTTGTGGGTGTGGGTGTATAGAACACACAAACACGCACATGTTCTATTATATAATCTAAATATCACTTATGGCACAGCTACATCAGCCAAATACGTAATCGTTTTAGACTCCATTTATCTTTGCATCTGAATATCCAAATATGCTGTTTGGATGCAAGCACAAGTTTCTCTCATCCTATCAAGGCCCATTCCTCTCAAAAGAGCAGAAACCTAAAATTGTATACAGTGATTACATTGCTCAGATACAACACTGAAATCATTTTCAGCAGGGAGTTTCTTTATATTACTCACTACAACAAAGATAAAGTATTTGTCCTAATTTGTAACATTTCTAATTAAAATAGTTTAAATGAAAACCAGAAGAGGAAGTGGTTATAAAGTACTTCTCCAAGTATATCAGCAAAAATACAGTGTGTACATTTAAACTTCTAACTCATGCTTTGTTCTACTGAAGACCTGGGTCCCTCATAAAGAAGCTTTGCCAAGCAATATTTTGTGCTGTTCTTTTATTTCTGTACAGACCAAGGATGTTACAAAATGCACTTTTAGGTATAAGATATGTCTATTCCTTCTTCTACCACATAGACTTATCGAGAAACTGTCTTAAAGAAGTCAATATATGAGGGGGGTAGATGTTTGAGATGTTTTTCCCTTAAATATTTTCCATTATCCTCTGAGCAACGACCAAAGGTAAAAGATAGTCAAAAGGACAGTAGGAACTGCAAAATATCCAGCCGCATCTCCCTGATTCTTTAAAGTGCACCAGCAGACTGTAGCCCTCAGAATGTGCCACAGCTTACTGGCTACAACCATTGTTCAGGCCATACCAATGGCTTTCCCTGATTGTATACCACCTAAAACATGGCATGAAGGCAGATCCAGCATAGACAGGGCTAGCGTTAGGACATGGACCTTACTGGAGGACCTTAAGTGCCACTTTGAATGCCTGAAACACTTGCAATTCTTCCTGTAGACCAAAGCTTGTGTCCCACCCCTTACTTGTATGTAATGGGCCATATGTATATTTTACTGGAGACAGCCTACTTCATACTATTATGCAAGACTATACCCTGCAACTAGTATATTTTTCTCCATGATTTCCATATGATCCACTGGGAGGTAGTCTTATTAACGGATTTTCTCCAGACTTTCTGGTCAACAGTTGTATATGAAAAATATTTCGGATGACTTCTCCAACAAAATACCTGGATTTTGCTGATGCTCTGGAGAACAGGGGGATTTCACTGTTTTATGTGGTGTTCATACATATTTCCATGTGTTTGTCTTTCTATTGGGTATTGGGCATTGAGTTCAAGCAGAAGGATGCCTAAAGAAAACTAGCAGCAAACATTAAACAATGCCTTGGTTAAGGAATTTCCCCAAATACAATAACCAGTCTCCTAGCTGTGAAAGGCACTCCTCAACTAACATCTGGTAACAGGTTCTGTTTACCAAACCTGAGAATTTGGAGATGGAAAGACTCAGATCTGTTAAGCAGTATAGCCTATAGTGGTGGTGGAGGGAGCTGTCAGCAGCTGCATGCAGACACAGATTTATGGAGAATAAAGAGTTGCAGCAAGAAAATGAGGGCATGCCAGGGTTAAATCAGGACCATTTGTTGTAACTCAGTGATTCAGGTAAGGATGATTGGCCAGGTGATCCCACACTACAGAGAAGTGAAAGAACTTCCCTGACACTCAGCAACTACAATAAGGAAGGGTATTTTAAAACTTCACGTAGATACAGGTGTATGCCAAAGCTTTCTTTCTGTCTGATGCCACGTACCTATGACAATTCATAGATTGCAAGGCTGGAAGTGACATCGGAAGATCATCAGGTCCAGCCTCCTGCACCAGGCAGGAAAGACAACTGGGGTCAGCTGACCCCAGAAAGGTGACTGTCCAGTCTCCTCTTGAAGATCTCCAGGGTAGGCGATTGCACCACCTCTGGAGGGAGCTTATTCCACAGTCTGGACACCCTGGCTGTGAAGAGGTTTTTCCTAATGTTAAGCCTGAAACTCCTGGAAGACCTTGGAAGAATCTTGGAAGCACTGAGATATTTCGTAGATTCACAGATGTTAGGGTCAGAAGGGACCATCATCGCATCCAACCCTCTGCCCTGGGTAGCAAAGAGTGCTGGGGTCAGACGACCCCAGGTAGGTGCTTGTCCAGTCTCCTCTTGAAGACCCCCAAGGCAGGGGAGAGCGCCACCTCCGTTGGAAGCTCATTCCTGATTCTGGCAACCCTTACTGTGAAGAAGTTCTTTCTAATGTCCAACATAAATCTACTCTCTGCCAATTTGTGGCCATTGTTTCTAGTTACTCCAGGGGATGCCCTAGTAAATAGAGCATCTCCTATTCCCCGCGGCCCTCACCTGATGAATTTATAGGCAGCCACAAGATCACCTCTCAGTCTTCTCTAGTGAAGGCTGAAGAGATCTAGGTTCCTCAGTCTCTCCTCGCAGGGCCCTGCCTGCAGGCCTCTGACCATACGAGTGGCCTCCTCTGAACCCTCTCAAGATTCTCCACATCGTCCTTGAAGTGCAGTGCCCAAAACTGGACACAGTACTCCAGCTGCAGCCTGACCATTGCTGCATAAAGGGGAAGCATCACCTCCCTGGACCTGTTCGTCATGCATCTGCTAATGCATGATAAAGTGCAGTTAGCCTTGTTGATCACTTTGTCACATTGATGACTGACATTCATCTTGGAGTCAGCTATAACTCCAAGATCCATTTCCATTGCTGTGCTGCTGAGAAGGTCCTCCCCCAGCCTGTAAGTGTGTTGTTGGTACTTTTTGCCCAGGTGCAGCACTTTGAATTTGTCTTTGTTGACCTGCATCCTATTTCATTCTGCCCATTTTTCCAACCTGTCCAGATCTGTCTGGATCCATTCCCTACCCTCTGGTGTATTAACTTTCCCCCATAATTTGGTATCATCTGCGAGCTTGGACAGGGTACTCTCCATACCCTTGTCCAAGTCACTGATGAAGACATTGAATAGCACTGGTCCAAGGACCAAGCCTTGTGGGACTCCACTGCCCACATCTTTCCAGGTCAATATCGACCTGTCCACCACCACTCTCTGGGTGTGACCCCAAGCCAATTTACCACCCATCTGTGTAATCATCTACATCTCAGACTGTCAGTTTATTTACGAGAACAGAATGAGATACCATATCGAAGGCCTTCTTAAAGTCTAGGTAGATGACCTCTACCTCGACTCCTGCATCTAAGCATTTTGTGACTTGGTCATAAAAAGAAACAAGGTAAGTCAGAAAGGATCTACCTGCAATGAACCCATGCTGATTTCCTTGCAGCATTATTTCCCTTGTTGGGCTCACACAAATCTGATCCTTAATGCTTTTTTCCAGAGTTTTCCCAAGGATAGAGGTGAGACTAACTGGCCTATAGTTTCCTGGTTCCTTCCTCCTCCCCTTCTTGAAAATAGGGTCCACACTGGCCCTTTTCCATTCTTCTGGGACCTGACTGGGGCACCATGAGTGCTCAAACAACTGTGCTAGTGGCTCTGTATGACACTGGCTAATTCCTTCAGCACGCTTAGATGAAGTTCGTTCAGGCCCGCCGATTTGAACACATCCAGTCCCTCCAAGTGCCCCTTTACTAAGTCTGCACTAACAGTTGGTGGGCTGGTGTCCTTCCTGTGTCTATCTATGATGCAGTTGGGAGGTTTGTCTTGGTTTGTGTCTAGGGATACAGATGCAAAGAACTAATTGAAGAGCTCAGCTTTCTCCCCCCGTCTCTGTCACCAATTGCCCTAGTTTGTTCTGTAGGGGGTCCTATGCTACCATGCACCTTCCTTTTGCTCCCTATATACCTGAAGAAGGACTTTTTGTTGCCCTTAATTTTTGTCACCAGCCTGAATTCTAATCCTGCTTTGGCCTTCCTAACTGATTCCCTGCAAGTATGAGCCAAGGAGGTATACTCCTCCTTGGTAGCTACCCCCTGTTTCCATAGCCTGTATCCCTCCTTCTTTGCCTTTAGGCTTTCCTGGACTTCCCTGTTCAGCCAAGGCGGCTTCTTGGCCCCTTTGTCCCCTTTTCTGCACAATGGGATTGTCTCCTGCGTCTGTAGGAGCACCCCCTTGAGGAGTGATCACCCTTCCTGGACCCCCATTTTGCCAATGCTCTTGAGCTTTAATACCTCA